AGGTACCTCTCTGGCGTGGGTTTGATCCCCGGGAGATGCTTTGGTAGTTTAGCGCGGAGGAAGGTTGTCTAGTACTGGTGTAACTCTCCAGGAACGATGGTTAGGAAACTACCCGCCTATATGACTGAAATACTGTTGAAAAAGGCGTAAAATGAGACAAACTAAACAAACTTGCCCAGGTGTAGAGATAATTTATTGTCAACTAACCAAACAGTGCATCGTTCCAAAACCTTTTCAAGTTTTTGGGCTATATATTTTTTTGGATTCTTATGCGGAAACAACATTGTGCTATCATATGCATATATATAAAATTAACTTTCAATCAGAATCAATACAAGTTACCATGTCATTAACGTAGCAGAGAAGTAGAAGAGGACCCAAAATACTGCCCTGAGGGACCCCACATGTTTTACTTTACTTTACTTTACTGGAGTTGAGGTCGCAGGACGTCATCATCGTCTTCTATAACCCCCATGGCTTTGTACTCAGTTCTGATCCGGTATGGTGGTATACTGTGTTGCTCCCATGAATTTGTCCAACCTGTTTTTAAAGCTGTTAAGTGAAGGAGCATTCACAACCACTTCTGTTAAATTGTTCCAGTCCGAGATAGCCCGTAGAGAAAAGAAATGCTTTCTTATCTCAGTTCTACATGTTTTCAATTTTAGTTTATATCCATGACTTCTTGTATTTGCATTGTTACCTAATTAAAAAAACACTTAATAGTTTATATCCTCCTTATGATGTAACAATTTAAAAACTTCAATCATGTCACCTCTAAATCGACGATATGCTAGTGAAGGCTATTTCAGTGTTTTAAGTCGTTGTTCATATGACAGATCTCTTTTTTGACCAACTAGTTTTGTTGCACGTCTTTGTACTGATTCAATTGCATTGATGTCTTTCTTAAAACGAGGATTCCAAATTATGTTTCCATATTCTAGATGAGGCCTAACTTGGGTTTTAAATAATTTCCCGAAAGATTTCACTGTGAAATGCAGAAATGTTCTTCTCATTAGTCCTGTAATTTTATTTCCTTTATTGATCCAATCATTTATTTGCTGTCTAAATTTCATATTCACATCAAAAATAACTCCAAGGTCTTTTACAGATTCACTGTTTGAAATTTCATTTCTGGTGTTGTTTACTTTAAGATGGTAGGTATTATTGACATTTTGATTTCCGTAGTGTAATGTAATGCACTTGTTTGCGTTAAACTTAAGTAGTCACTTTTCACTCCATAAACTGAATTTGTCATTGTCAGGTTAAATTTTCTCTATATCTGCATCGTCATTCGCTAAATTGTACAGTTTTGTATCAGCAGCAAATAAACGCAATGTTCCTTCAATGGCATCCTCTATATCGTATATGAAAATCAAAAAATATTATAGGTCCTAAGAAACTTCCCTGTGGAATACCGCTGGTGACTTCAGTCCATTGAGATTTTTCACTACCAATTACAACCCTTTGTCTTCTATCCCGGAGAAAAGCTTCAATCCATTTTAATAATTTACCATTTAATTCCATAACTTTCAAGTTTCTTCAATAATCTAGCATGTGGAATAGTGTCAAACGCCTTTTGAAAATCATAATAAATACAATCAAAATTTTGACTATCGTCTATCCATTCCGTCCACTTTTCCATAACTTCCAGTAACTGTATAGCACAAGATCTCAGTGTTCTGAATCCATATTGTGAATTTGAAAATAGATTGTTTTCAGTCATATGTTTCACTACTTGATCCCTTACCAACTTTTCCATAAGCTTATAGGGGACACAGGTCAAACTTACTGGGCGATAGTTTCCTGCCTGGTTTTTCTCCCCTTTCTTAAACAACGCATTCACATTTGCCGTTTTCCAGTCAATCGGTGTTTCTTCTTCTTCAAAAGATTGATGAAATAAAAGAGTTAATGATAAACATATTGCATTCTTAACTTCTTTCAGCACTCTAGGGTGTAAGAAATCAGGTCCAAATGATTTTGTTACGTTCAGATTTTCAAGTTATTTCATGGTAATTTGCTCATTGAACTGTACTTCTAAAATACTTTTACCAGAACTTCTAGCATTTATATATGAAATATTGTTTAAATCTTCAATAGTTAATACAGTCTTGAAAAACCTTTTTAGTTCTTCAGGTTTTTCAAAGTCATAATCGAACCATCGTCTCTCTTTAAGTCTGCTATTCCAGTTTGGACTTTTTTGCGAGAATTCACATTTGTAAAATGCTTTCTGATTTGTATCCTCTGCAATTTTTGTTTCAAAGTTATTTCTGGCTTTACGACATTCAGGGGTAGCTATATTACGTTGACGACAAAAATATTGAAAGTGAACATGTTCATTTGTTTGTCTATATTTGTTCCATGCCCTATGTTTCTTTTTCACCGCTTTAAGAGCTTCTCTAGTCATCCAAATTGGTTTATTTGATGATCTGATTTTCCTAACAGGAATATGTTTTTTCATTGAATCTGTTATTTTATCTTTGAAAAATATCCAATTTTCATTCACTTCTTTACCTTGAAATTCACTTATCCAATCAGCATTACTCAAGTCAGTTTTCATTTCATCATAATTTCCTCGATCGTAAGTAAATGACTCCTTCATGTATGTCTCATTGTTGGAATTACAGTCAATACCAAAGGTAATCACTATATGGTCACTTTTACCCAGGGGACTGAAGTGTTCAATATTGTTCACTAAATGTTCTTCTGTTGAGAAAACAAGATCTAAAGTACGTTGTCTTTGGCCGTTTCTGTATCTTGTATAAAGTTCTATGTTTTGATGAAGATAACTATCACGTACAGCTTCTATAAATTCATGACTTACATGATTTTCTGGCGCACTTGAAATCCAATGCTTCCAGTTTATATCACGATAGTTGAAATCACCCATAACAACTACTCTCGACTGTGTTTCATTATTCAATGCACCAATCATTTCATTTATAGCCAGATTATTTTCTGCACTCGAGTTAGGAGATCTATACACTAATCCTACAAGAAGCTTCTCTAAATTGTTAATTTTAATTTCACACCAAATAGCCTCTTTAGCAGAATTCTCATTCAGTTTTTTTTTATTCAGTTACTTCCAAATAGTCTCTAACAAACAACAAAGTTCCTCTACTTGCAACATTTTGAAATTTTGGATTACAGAATACATGATATCCTTGTAAAACATAACCTGAAAGCTCTATCCTAAAGGGGACCATTTTTAGAAGCACTGTATCCTTGTGCACCTTTTGAATTTGATTTACCCCTTGTTTGAATCTGCGAGCTACCTAACTGTTCATTTTTTTTTTGGACTTGCAGTTATTATTCTATTGTTTGCAAATCTTTGGCTAAATCTTGGAATTCTACTTTCCCGCTGAGACGGTGACAAAATTTCAACATCATCAGGTTCCTAAGCGCCTTTGAACATTTTAATGAAAAGGGCGCTATATAAATGTGGTATTTATTATTATATTCCTGAAATCTAGGACCAGAATTATAAGCTACTTTACTTGCTAATTCTGCTTTCATTTTCTTGTATGTGAACGACCTGTCCATAACTCTTCTTCTTGCTACTTCTTGTTTCAACGCTCAACATTTTCAACATTAGCATTTTCAATATTTAATGTAACACACATTTCTTGGACTTTCATTTTATCATCATCACGTTTCTCTTGAGTATTTTCACCAGCTGGATCAGATAGATTATATACAATCAAATTACCTTTCCTTTTATCGCGTTCATGGTAATCTCTCACTGTTTCATCTATGCGGTAATCTAAATGTAAGTTACTAGCAGGTTCCATTTTCTCCTCTAATGCGTTTACATGCGACTCCAATTTTTCATTTTTGACGGTTATCTTTGTGATAGCACTGTGTTCTTTCTTCACGCTTGGAATAGCTTCTCTATATATAGCCTGTACAATACCAAAGGAAATTTTCAACAAGTCCTAAATCATGCAATTGGTCATTAAATGATTCGGTCATTCCAGAACACCTTTCATCAATACAAAACCATTAATCACACAAGTCACACTGAACTCCATCATCATCATTTTGAAGCATTTCATGACATGATGCACAGCTTGCCCTATGACTATAAGTATGCTCTGATTCACTTAATACAGACATATTGTCAGTATCTCTCTGTTTATTTCTTGTGTTCTGTGCAGGTTATTGAAGGGCATCTTGGTCAGATTTCAGTTCTGAAAAAAGTCTTTAAAATTTGCAGAATTTCAATGCAGAAGATTTTCTTAGTATACCACCATTTCTAGTTGAGTTGAGGGACTGGGTACTATTATGTGGGGAGAGGGGGTTTGGGTAGAAATGCCATTTTTTTAATCGACTTTGAAAACCATGTGTTGCCACCATAACCGGAACCGGAAGATATGAATTGAGTCAGAATTTTTTTACCAATACTTACTTTTTGATGCCTTCCTGACAAGTATAATTTAAACCAAGAAATAGATTTGACACCTAATACATCTAATTTATCACACAAAAAATCATGATTGACAGTATCTTGAAAATGCTTTTGGTTATACCAGTGAGTAACCCTTTGGAGCTATTTGTACGGATATAGTCAAGTAGGTTAATAAGTAATAATGAAAGTGTATAAATTTATTGCATCTGTGTAGGTTTTGTGTGTAACATGATGTAAACGTAGGTTTTTGTTAATTCTTCTGGACCTCGTTTATTGGCGGAAGGATTAAAACAGTAAAACCCGCTAGCAGTCAGGAATATCATTAAAATAATGAAGATTTCTGAAAAAAAAGGAGATGACATATAAATTATATTATGGACCTCATTTTATAAATATAATGCTGATGTTTAAAGTTGAAAACAGTATATCATTCATCAAGAACAGTGGAAGCCAGAATTAAGACGCAAATGTGACTGAATTACTATAGAACATTGTAGTATGAAATTTCAGTGGGCCGAACCCGAAGAAGAAATTCCGGATTCAGGATACCGGGAATTTGACTCATCACTTTAGTTTGGTTCCCTGTCCTATTCTCTTCTATATTGTTTCTTCCCACAAGACAAGGTACCAGAATATATATTTTCGTTTCGTAGAAATCGTTGAGGCAAGTCCTTCAGTACAAAAATGTCTCTTTATCGAGGGCTCCTTAAATCTGAAAAGGTCATTCATCAGATTCAGAAGCATGGCTTTAAATCATGTAAGTGTAATATTTTAATAATTTAAACTGCTATAATCCTAAGGTATAGAAATAGCTTTAAAACTAAATGTATTCAATGACCTTGGTTAAAGATTTGAAAAGACCGACCTTATCCACAGACGCTTGTGGTTTGGAGCTCAAAACGCCTTTAAAATCCAAATAAAATGCATATTTGTCAATCCCAGGACATGTACTGATCATATATATCAAAAAATCTTAATATATGCCGTTTTGAAAAAAAATCATATTTCAACAACTATAATAATACACAAGATAAAAATGTTCGCCGGAAAAATCCGCACCCCATACCCGTCATAATCACCATGTATTTTAATCCATTTCCAATATTTTCACAAAATCCTTTGGTCCATCGACACAGAAGATATAATTCTTCACGATGATGGTCAATTTTAAACTTCAGCGGTAATATAAACAACACAACAGCCGAAATAAACATCAATATTATCGCCGTTTTTTTTCAACGACAAAATCTTTCGATAAATTCAATGGACCAGACGGCTATGAACGAAGCTATCCGATTATGTGGCCCCAGCTTTGCCGTGTGCAAAATGCGCAGCGCTTTTAAGTTTGGGAACCACATAATCGGATAGCTTCGTTCATAGCCGTCTGGTCCATTGAATTTATCGAAAGATTTTGTCGTTGAAAAAAACGGCGATAATATTGATGTTTATTTCGGCTGTTGCGTTGTTTATATTACCGCTGAAGTTTAAAATTGACCATCATCGTGAAGAATTATATCTTCTGTGTCGATGGACCAAAGGATTATGTGAAAATATTGGAAATGGATTAAAATACATGGTGATTATGACGGTAGGGGTGCGGATTTTTTCAAGCGAACATTTTTATCTTGTGTATTATTATAGTTGTTGAAATATGATTTTTTTTCAAAACGGCATATATTAAGATTTTTTGATATATATGATCAGTACATGTCCTGGGATTGACAAATATGCATTTTATTTGGATTTTAAAGGCGTTTTGAGCTCCAAACCACAAGCGTCTGTGACCTTATCTGCTTATTTATTTCGACTGAAGCAAGTCAAGTCAAGTAAATTCTATTTATAAGTCGGATACATCAACAATAAACATAAGCTCTGATGAGCTTTTTACACCGACTACAATAATATAAAACACATGTTTAAGATATGATAAATGACGAAAATGGTTATGATAAAATAAGACAAATAGCATTGCATTAACAAATAGAGTAGACAAACAGCACTGTACTAGCATTCATCAGTAGCATACAAAATTAAGAGGTAATACATATTAGATCTAATTAAAAAAAACATTAATATACATACTAAAGGTTAAGATCACACATCACATCTTATATAAAACACACAAACATTTAAGCAGATGAACATCAGGCATACATACACACAATAAAATGCATTGTGTTAATTAATTTGTTTAATAAGTGCCTGTAGTCAAAATATATTGACGTGCCAAAGCTTGATTTTGAGATATTTTCGTTCTAGGGCAGAATCAGACTCGAAAATATCACAAAATCTCGTCGCGCAGTACAATGAATTGGACTGTATAAGTGCCTGATGGTTGTAAATTAACTACAACTATTTTATCAGAAATGGTAAATTACTGATGAAGGGTGATTAGATTCCCCACACTATCAGCTCGTCCGCGGCGTGGCCAAGTGGTTAACGCGTTGGACTAGTAATCTAAGGATTGCTGACCGCGTGGGTTCAAACCCTGTGAGGGTCAAGCCGTTGTTTCCTTGAGCAAGAAACTTTACATTCATTGCTTAGTACTGGTTGGTTCAAGGAACGGATTCGAGAGTGTTTCAATAAGCTTATAGCTTCCAACACAATCAAACTAAAATAAATTTGTATTTGTATAAACCAACTCGTCCGCAAATCAGGGTCAGCTCAGCCCTAAAACGTACTCGACCCCGAGTCAGCTCGGCTCTAATCCAACTCAGCACGGTCAACTCGGCACATAAATGACTGAATCACTGATTTTTTTACTACCTTTTATATTTTTTCATCATAACTTTCATTGTTTAACATTTTACAGTAACAGACCTCTACTCAAGGATATTGAAAAGTTTTACTGACAAAAGTACCAGTTTGTATACATGTGAATATTTTGTAGAGAAACAAATTACTTCAGGTGTTTTCAGTAAAAAAATATAGTCAAAACAGCATTGGTCGTATTAAAGAAGAAACAGTGTTAAATACGAGAACATTTATTGTCATAAAAATTTAATCCAAAAACTTTATTTATGGATCAATATTTAACTTATATTGTATTGACATCTCTTCTTAACAAAGATAATTTCAAACAATACGTACATGTACACTGCCAACCTTTTCAATTTCTGGATGTAAGTGATGGTACTTCTGAATATGTTAATGGCTGAGGCTATTTATCTGAATCATGGCAGTGACAATATACACTGTCCGTGTTAGGCATTGACAACACTTAACAAAGTAGCCCGGGATTATATCACTTTTTAAATTTCCCGGGGGTCCAATTTGGATGCAGTTTCTTTTTTCTAATTTCCTAAAATTAAGGGGTCCAAAAATTAAATTTAGGATGTCAAAAAAATTTTTTCAAACATTCTGACCCTTACTGGCCCTGGTACTTATGATTAAAATTTGCATGTAAAAACTCTTTTTGTGTATTTACTGCAACAGTGTTATGATGTTAAGCAATATCTAGAGTTCAGTATTTTATTTATTTTTTGCATCCAAATGGATGCAAAAAAAGTAAAATACTGAACTCATTAATATTGCTTAACATCATAAAAACTGTTGCAGTACATAAGAGTTTGCTACATGCAAGATTTAATCAGTAAGTCACTAAGTGGATGCAAGAGGTTAATATTAATAATAATAATGGATGCCAGTAGGCATTTTAGCGGTATGCAGAAGTTACTTTTAAAAACAGAGTGAATGGAAAGTACAAAGATTTTTAACTATCTTGCTACACTTGCCCATTTGGCAAATTAGAAATTTTTAGTAGCCTTTTGTACATGTTGCATATATATTTTGTTGAGTCTGTAAGATTCGTAAATGCTTAAATAGTTATAAAATGTTATATGTATTTGCCTCAGTACTTGAATGACCTGAAGCTGAATGAAAAATGATATTTGCAATTGAAGTGTTGTGCAACAGCTAGTATTAAAATGTTGAGCAATAATTTTGATGTATTGATTCAATCTTATAACTATTTAATTTTCTTTTTTTTAATTTCAGCTGTTGTATGCCGTGGAGAACCTGGTGCAGTAAGTAATTGTTACATATATACCTGTGAGTCACCACTTTTCGTAATGTTAAGCGATTGACGTGGACAGTAAATTAATGACAACAAAAAACAATTTTTAAACTGTTCAGAAATCAAAATATATCTTACCTCTATATATCCAACAAAAGGAAAACAAAAAATTGGACTTTGGATTCTTTCTCTAGCTTACAGAATGTTGATGGTTCTACTCATTCTTGCCAGAAACATTGAAGGGAAGGGCACATGGCGTCTTTCTCCACCAGTGAACCTGGAAAGTCGTCATATGACCTATACTGTGTTGTTGTGATGTAAAACACAATAACAAGAAAAAAATGTTCTCAGCGATGGATAATAAACTGCTGAATATTTTCAGCATATGTTATGCTTAAGTCAGCAAATTAAACAGAGAAAAAGAGGGGGGAAATGTGTTTTGGCTCAGTCATATTTGATAAAAGGCATGAAAATTCTTTATCATTATAACTAAAAAAATAGAATTGAGAAAGCATATGGAGATTATGAGCCAATGAAAATTTAATAGTACAATACTAATACTACCATTCTTGTTTACGTACATGCAAGTAACACATAAGCCTTCAATTCAGTTACTGTTACTTGCATAGATAATAATATAGTAATGTGCTGATTTATGGTATTGTACAGGAAGGAACTCATTTGAAATCTTAAAATTGAGCATTGGTAAAAAAGTATATGTTCCAAAGATGCACTTTCACAATAAACTCCCAGTATATGAAAGCAGAAGTAAGTCAATGATGGGATAAGTGTATAACTGTGTCAGTTTTTATGAAATTCAAAGCTTTTTTATGAATATCCAAATGCAATTCATTTACTTTCGCTTGCACATGTATGGGGGCTATAGTGCACCATTGGTATATGCAGAACTTGTCCCCCTAACAATATCTCCTTAACTCAGTGGGTAAAAATTCACCATTAGGGTCAGCTAGGGCTGTTATTGATTGAAAATTTTGTATTGATATATCAATAGCTAAATATCATTTATACTTGATAATAGATTTAAATTGCTTAATATACAGTGGAAACTATATATATATGAATATATGTGTAAAAAATTATAGTGTTATGCAAGCATGGTTTATTCTTACAAACATAGCATTCTGAAAGAAAGAATGTTTTCTTGGTTTTATCTTTTACAGGTCTTTGACAATTAATTCCAATGTTCAAACTAGGGAAAAAAAGTGGCTTTTTCTCTTTACAACAAAGAGAGAGACATTTTCACTATTTTTACTAAACATGAAGAAATGGGTTTTAAATTGTATCAATAATATTCTAAATTATTAATTGATATTGTATCAATTGTTGATTATCGATCAGATGCTATCCTAGGGTCAGTGGCCTTTGTCACTGTCAGCTGTACAAGATGACTGTTAAATTTTGAGATAGAAAAAAAAAGGCCTAGAGATTGTAGCATGATGAGTAAACTGTAACATGATACTCTAGGTGTGTACAGCTCCTTTATAATAGAGAGTTCCCTAGATCTTAAGATACTACCATCGCGAACACTGATATGTAAACACATGTATCATATAATATAGTTTAGATAATAAAAGTAGTTAGAGCACATATAAAGGCATTCGTTTCAATTCCAGAAAGTTGGAAGTAGGTCTCACCGAGATTAGTTATTTTGGTCACGTGTTAACTGCAGAAGGCTTAAAGGCCGATCCCGCCAAAATTGAGGTCATTAAGGGTATGAGACCACCCACATCAAAAAGTGAACTACAGGTGGTATTAGGCATGGTTAATTATCTCAGTCGTTATGTCTCTGACAATTTATCAGAGATTACCGCTCCTATGAGAGAGTTATTGCATTAAGGACACTTTATTCACGTGGCAAAAAGCCTCAAAGTGATTCCTTTGAAAAATGAAAGAAGTCATTTGTAAGGACACATGTTTAGCTTATTATGACCCAAACAAATCCTTGACATTGCAAGTTGATTCTTCTTCAAAATCTTTTAGGGGCAGTAATCCTTCAGGAAAACGTCCCATAGCATTTGCGTCCCGTAGCTTAACTGAATCACAGAGAAATATGGGTCAAATTTCTAAAGAATTATTATCTATCGTCTTTGGATTTACGAAATTTCATCAGTACTGCTATAGCCGTGATGTCATTGTAGAAAATGACCATCTCCCTATACAGGGATTGCTGAAAAAGCCTATGCATTCAATACCTGCTAGGTTGCAGCGTTTAGTCTTGAAATTAACTCCATATAGGTTTCAGTTTCGTCACATGTCCGGTAAGAAAATCCATTAGCAGATGGACTTAGCAGAAACGCCAGTCCGGAACAAGCCCAGAACTTAATGAGGTATTGAGGCACACGTTTGCATGGTTATCTCATCTTTACCCGTGTCAGATAGAAAACTTGAGGAAATCAGGTTACACATAAAACAAGATGAACAATTATGTACATTACAACAAACAATAAAGTTTGGTTGGCCTAAGTACAAAAGGCTTGTCATCAGTTAATTGCTGCCTTTTGGAACTATAGGGATGAGTTATCTGAGGTTGATGGTTTAATAATGAAAGGAGAAAAAATCGTTATGCCAGGTCACTCAGATCTGAAATGTTAAAGGTGCTGCATTCCAGTCATCTGGGTGCGCAAAAATGTCTTAGTAGAGCAAGGTCAATATGTTTTGGGCCGGGAATTTCAAATGATATAATTGAAATGGTAAATCAATGTCATATTTGTCTGGAATACAGGTCATCGCAACAGAATGAGCCATTAATCAGCTCTGAAATCCCAGACTATCCGTTTCAAATTGCAGGGTGTGACACTGTGACTTGTTCTCACTTAATGAGAAAAATTTCATGGTCATGTCCGATTACTATTCTAGGTATCCCATAGTTCATGAACTTTCGAACATAAAAAGTTCAACTGTTATTTCCCACATGAAAGATATCATGTCACATTGGGGCATATGTGAGAAAATAGTCACTGATGGGGGTCCATGTTTTTCTAGTCAAGAATTTGAGGAGTTTTCAAAGTCATGGGATTTTGTACCTGTAAAATGTAGTCCATATCATAACCAAACAAATTGTTTGGATGAGGCGATGGTTAAAGTTGCCAAACGTATACTTAAAAAGGCAAAAGATGATAATTCTGATCCGAGAATAGGATTTTTAGAATATCGTTCTACTCCTCTCGCTGATATAGGAAATTTCAGTCCAGCGCAGTTAGTCCAATCACGACAACTTCGTTCTATCCTTCCCACTGTAAGGGAAAACCTTATACCACGAGAACCGCCCCCTGATGTAGTCAAACAAAAAATCGCAGAATCCAAGGTCAAATCTAAGCATTACTATGATAACAAGAGCTGTCACAGGAGACAGCGAAGCTCGACTAATAAAATACTGGACGCAGTAAGGAGGACAAAACTATGAAAGAAAAATCAATTATGTATAATTACGTATTAAGTTATAGTAAAAATTAACATTTGTTAACATAAATTCCAAGATCAAGGGGAATAATTATAGAAATAGTCATGCTAGAGTTATGGATCTTGCCACACAACATTTGTGTAATGATAAGAAATATATATTTGAAGTTTGAAGTAGATACCTTAAAAAGTAAAGAAGTTATTATATTTCTTAAAGAAAATCCTAAGTTCAAAGAGAGATAAATCTGTAAATATTGCTTTAAGAGTTATGAACATTGTCACATAAAATGTAATTAATGATAAGGTATAAGTATTTGAAGTTTGAGGTAGATACCTTTAAAAATAAAAAAGTTAAAATAAAAAATAACATTTTTCTAGTAAATAAATCTAAGTTTATGGGGAGATAATTCTTGCAATATTGGTGCTAGAGTTATGAACCTTGTCACATAAGATGTGGATGATGATTACGTAAATATATTTGAAGTATGAAGTTGATCCCTTTAGAAATAAATAAGTTACAGTAAAAAATAATATTTTTTATGGAAAATTCTAAGTTCAAAGGGCGATAAATCTGAAAATATTGGTGCTAGAGTTATGAACCTTGTCACATAAGATGGGGATGATGATAACGTAAATATATTTGAAGTATGAGGTCGATCCCTTAAGAAACAAAGAAGAAACAGTAAGAAATAGTATTTTTTGAGGAAAATTCTAAGTTCAAGGGGAGATAAATCTGAAAATATTGGTGCTAGAGTTATGAACCTTGTCACATAAGATGGGGATGATGATAAGGTACATATATTTGAAGTATGAGGTTGATCCCTTAAGAAATAAAGAAGTATCAGTAAAAAAATAGTAATTTTTAAGGAAAATTCTAAGTTCAAGGGGAGATAAATCTGAAAATATTGGTGCTAGAGTTATGAACCTTGTCACATAAGATGTGGTTGATGATAAGGAACATATATTTGAAGTTTGAAGTTGATACCTTAAGAAATGACAAAGTTATAGTGAAAAATATTTTACTGCACCAAAACTTTAATCTAAAATCTGGACGCGGACGCCGACGCCGGGGCGAGTAGGACAGCTCTCCATATACTTCGTATAGTCGAGCTAAAAATGCTAAGTCTCTGTCTCCCTTAAATGTTGGAGATTCCGCTAGAATTCAACGTCTAGACAAGTCCTGGAGTCCCGCTGTTGTAATAAAAAATCACAGCGATAGGTCCTATATTGTTGAAACAGAAAACGGACAACAATATCGCAGAAATCTTAAAGATTTGTTGAAATCTAAAGAATCACCTTTATTGACACATGGTGCTTTGAATTCTGGCCTTGAAATGTCAGTTAATGACAAAATGATTGACGTAGGGTCAGAGCGTACCGATAGCAATAAACAGCCTGTGGTTTTGAATCCTCCGGATAATGCTAATTATTTCACTCGCGCAGGCAGAAAGGTGAAGCCACGTGCTGTAACAGACTTGTAAATAGACAGTGATTGTTTGTAATGAAGAAATTTACAGTATTAATCATGATTAGTACATGTTGTAAACGACTCATGATAATGAACATTTATTAACTACATGTTACTGTAATCATCATCTAATATAAAGTTTTTCTTCCTTGAATTTATTTAAGCGTTATTCAAATAATCTATGCGGTTATACATATGATAAAATTATGTTTAAAAAAACAGTAATTTTGTAAAAGATGGAATGAGTAAACTGTAACATGATACTCTAGGTGTGTACAGCTCCTTTATAATAGAGAGTTCCCTAGATCTTAAGATACTACCATCGCGGACACTGATATGTAAACACATGTATCATATAATATAGTTTAGATAATAAACGTAGTTAGAGCACATATATATTTATGTCGTTCATAAACCCATGACGTAACAGAGATGAGCTTTAATTTGTGATAGTAAGATGTTAATAATTATCTGCAGTTTCTTTAAATGACATCGTATCCTAAAGTACAAAGTAGATTGAGCAAACTTCATAGGAATGATCCTTAGGTGCCCTCTTCTAATGTTCAATCTGATGCTGTACATCTATCACAACATAAAGGACATACAGGGGATGATTTACATCATTTTTGTATAGGACCACCGAATAAATCCTATACTGGTTGGGGAGATAACCCCGGCACAAATTCACATATTTTTTGCAATATCTTAATTATCTTCCTGTATATTTTAAATGTTGAACCACCTAAACAAAGTTAAATTCAAAGACTTTGCATTACACTACAAGAATAACATATGAAAATGGAAACTGGTACTTCTTTAAGGTCTTGAATGAGGTATACAAAACATGGTCTTCTAACCCCGCATCAAGTAACCGCCTCCGTGGTCGAGGGGTTAGAGTCGATGACTTCTAATCCAGTTACTTCTCTGGCGTGGGTTCGATCCCCGGGAGATGCTTTGGTAGTTTAGCGCGGAGGAAGGTAGTCTAGTACTGGTGTAACTCTCCAGGAACGATGGTTAGGAAACTACCCGCCTATATGACTGAAATACTGTTGAAAAAGGCGTAAAATGAAACAAACAAACAAACAAACAGTTAATAAAGTCAACACTTAAATTTTTATGTAAAAAATGACAGGAAAATCAGCATCAATATTATAAATTTTTACATCTTACATGTTTTATCTATTTTTTTGTTGATATAAAAAAAATTCAACAATCTTTCCCAAGTCAGTGGCCTGTGGGTCAATACATTTTTTACTTCCTTTTTTTTTTTCCTTGCAATTTAATAAAAAGAATGTTTTGAAGCAGTTTTTGCCAACAAAAAGTTTAGGTAATTATTTGAAAATTATAAAAAAGTTTAACAACTTTCAAAAAATCATCACATTCTGTCCTGCTCCTAGACTACTAGGTGGCTATATGCTTGTTTGTTGAAAAACAACGTTGCAACAAAAATATTTATCAAGTGTCGGAATTATCTGTGTGTCAGAGTTATCTCTTCGACCAGTATACCAAATGAATTAAGGCCTACTGTGAAAAAAGAGTAAAATATATATTGGTTCACAGAACATGGAAATGTTCCTCTATGTTTATTCCTCTCAAATAGGCACATAATTACCTTCTTGTTTATTGCAGCTGACACCTAGACAAAAAGTGATGGCAAACCAAGCATCAATGGACCACATGTTAGTTCCAAGTGGAAGCTGGCAAGAAAATTATAATGCGAAACAGCCCATGTACAATCTAAACTTGCTCCTGTCGACAGTTGCAATGCTTGCTGCTTCTTATGCTGTAAGTATTTGATTGAAGAATTTGAGTTGTTCAATATCAATAAGATAAGATCTCAACAATAAGTCATACCCTAAATGTAAACAGGAGAGTTTCATAAATATGTAACCTTCACACTGCTTCGATTTTGCATTTCATCAGCATAACGGCTGCAGAAAATCATATTATTATGCTATATTATAACATAAGATTCTTTATGATAAGATTTTTGTGTCGCCTCTACGGAGTAGTGGCGACATATACTGATCACTTCTCCGTCGTCTGTCTGTCCGTCTGTCTGTCCGTCCGTCTGTCTGTCTGTCCGTCCGTCCGTCACAAAACTTGTCCGGACTACTGCTCATAAACTACTGGTGCAATTTCATCCAAACTTTACAGGAATGATCAGTACCAAGTCTAGTTGTGCATATTGTCAGCATTTTCCGGTTCAATGATTTTTGTCAGAGTTATGGCCCTTTAATAATTTTTAATTTTAAAGTTTGTCCGGACTACTTCTCTTATACCACTAATGCAATTTTAATGAAACTTTACAGGATTGATCTGTAGCTCAAGTCCTTGCGCATATTGCACGGGTTTTCCGGTTGAATGATTTTTGGCCGAGTTATGGCCCTTTGACAAAAAGGTGTTTTTTTCTGTGTGTTGCCAGATACACAAAAGCTTGTCCGGACTACTCCTCATAAACTACTGGTGCAATTTTATCAAACTTTACAGGAATGATCAGTACCAAGTCTAGTTGTGCATATTGTCAGCATTTTCCGGTTCAATGATTTTTGTCAGAGTTATGGCCCTTTAATAATTTTTATTTATCAAAGTTTGTCCGGAATACTTCTCTTATACCACTAATGCAATTTCAATGAAACTTTACAGGATTGATCTGTAACTCAAGTCCTTGCGCATATTGCACGTTTTTTTCCGGTTGAATGATTTTTGGCCGAGTTACGGCCCTTTGATAAAAAGGTGTTTTTTTCTGTGTGTTGCCAGATACACAAAAGCTTGTCCGGACTACTCCTCATAAACTAGTCTACTGGTGCAATTTTATCCAAACTTTACAGGAATGATCAGTACCAAGTCTAGATGTGCACTGTCTGTCTGTCTGTCACAAAAGTTGTCCCAACATGAATTTGGCCATCATGAGGCGACACATGTGATTACTGATCGCTCTTGTCATGTATATCAAACTGAAATTGACCTTGGCTCTTTTTTAACCTTGACCTTTAAGGTAAATTATTGAATTTTCACTGATTTTGCTATAATTGACTGTATCTTGGTAATTAATAAATGGATTATCTTCATACTTTGAAAGAACAACATTTTGGACAAGGCATTCTTAAAGGTTGAACTGACATTGACCTTGAGCTTTCAATGACCTTGACAGTCAAGGCCAAAGTATTGAATTTTAGTTAAGTGTAACTCCTTTAAGATGTATCAATAAGAAAGGGTGAATAAAAGTCAAGGATTTGGTAGGTTCTGAATCTCTTTTGTTCTTGTTGGCATAGCCTGTATCTAAGACAAATTCAGTGGATTATAGACAATCCATCTTCTAATATAACCACACTCTGAAAATACATAATTAATTCATTCTAAATAAATAGTATATTTAACATTCATGAATTGAACAAATCATTATCAATCACACATCATTTCAGTGGCTTTTAATTAACATAATAAACATTTTTTCATACAATATCATAAAACACTTATACATTTACAACAATATATCAAACTTAGAAATACAATATGCTCTTCTCACTCTCTCCAGTGTACTGTTAATTCTGCAAATTATAATGGAATAATGTGCAGAGAGTTGGAATAGAATTTGAAATTAATTTATAAAATTTGTTAGTTAAGGAGAAAGATATGATACTGCTATATTAAACCAATCCTTAAGAAGTCCAAAAATAAGACACAGATACCATTTACATTACTTATTCCATTCAATATTATTATTCAATTAAAAACAACATTTAGATAAACAATACTAGTCTTGATGTTCTGGAAATCATCAAAAGCAATTCAAACTTCAAATACCTTTATTATTAATTATAATATCCCATAAATCACAAAAATTTAAAACTAGAGGACAATGTACATGTGTCTCTTGAAAAGCCTCAGGTCAACTGAACACCAAAAATAGTCACATGATCAAACTGGTGTGAGAATCATTATGTAACCACTGACCCATAAAAGAACAGTTCAGGGGAAACAACTCTCTACTGTGTCATTGTTACATAAGTTGTCTTAATTTTGTAATTTATGTACAGATTTGATTCATATATAACAAAACTACACTTTTGACAAAGCAGACACGTGGAATAATTGACCTTTAAATGACCTTGACCATAAATTATTAAATTTCGATTATATTTTTCTTTACTTTCTCATTTATTTATGGAAAGAATTCATACTTCTACAACAAGTGTGACTAGACAAAAAAGGAAAAACTTTTTTTTTCTTTAATTTTCTTTTTTAAGATTTGTTTAAGCCATGTGTTTGTTTGCTTTTTGAAAATGTAAAAAAAGGCGTTGCCCCGCCAGCGGTGGCCTTTGTTTACAATGAAAATGAATATGCTAGATGTATTGTTACAGTCATGGTGGCAAAACATTTGCCATTCACAAACTTAAACCTTGATCATGACTTTTTTTTAGGTCTTTGTGTATTGTCTTCATACTTATCCACAACATTCCTTGGGACAAGACCTTCAAGTAGACCAGACAAAAATTTGTTTTTAGACAATTTTCTATGATTAGGTGCACTCTGTTTATTGTAATCTGAATATGATAGAATTGGACAGATAGGGCATTTATCTATTGCTTGCATCATCAATTATTTGGTTATTTTAAACTTTTTATATTTTTTGTTTCTTTATTTTCAGTTCTTATCCAGAAAATTCGTATATACGCCAGATTACAGCAAACCAATCGATTTGAAGGAGATCTACGGATAAACAATGATCAATACAAATTAATCACTCGGAAATTATTTTAAGTTATTAGTGTTTCACAGATTTTGTTTTCAAAGAAAAATTCTATGACTAAATATCTTATAAAACAAGACCACAGAAAGTTAATAATTCTTTAACTAAGTATATTCTTTAAGAAGACTCTGAAATTGTAATATTGGAATGTTTAGAACAGGTGTACTTTTTATGATTGATTGAAATAAATTTGACAATATTTTAAACATTTGCAGTGTTGATAATTAAAGTGCTTTGAAGTTTAGCTATACTATATGGAAAGTTTCAAAAGTAATGAAAGTTTTGTTGTAGGTATGTCCAGTAATGCTTCCACCACCCCCTTTACATATTACACATTTTACTTACTGGTACATCAGCTGATTGAACTGATTTTCTTGGTGAATATTTTGGACTGCAAGAAACATTACAATTTACTAAGCATTAAAAAATCACATGGTAAATGATTAGACAAGTGTGGTGGGTGATCCTTGATAATTATTTGATATATAATTCATGAAATGTTTATCTATTCAGGTTTTAAATACTACAATTTTGACAATATATATATTTATGAACCAGATTCATTTAAGTGTATAAAGCTGTTGCAAAAATTGTTTGAATTTTAAAAAGAATGCTTGCAAAATGCTTGTATAACAGAAATATGGAATATTGCCTGAATAGCAAATGGCACAATTTTTGTTCGGGACTTATTCTTTTTACATTATTAGACATTTTAAATTACAGCTGTTTCCAGAATCAATCATAAAATAATGGAAACAACATAATTTTACTGTTTATAAATTTTATATAAAGATATTTCATGAGACACAGCTTTAACTGTAAATGAAACCATTTCATGAACTACATGTATATAAATTGTAAAGTGGGTGGGGGGCGGGGCAGTGAATGTTAACCAAAATTAGACTAGTGCAAGGTCACAGATCCTCAGGTCAAGGTCACAGTCATTTTGAATCAATTAAAAATTTTGTGTCTGCTCTTTATCTTTTGAACACATTGAAAAACTAAAACTGTTTGGCAGATACATTTCTTATAATGAGATGATGTGCAGAGCATAGGTTTGGTCTTCCCAAGATCATAATTAGCCCTTCCCTGTGGATTTCTTGATTTATATAGAATTGCATAGGAAAACACATTTAAATTTTATTATGTGAAACTACAATGTACAATGTCTAGAACTTAGATTCAATATTGACCCTGCTTCAGGGATTTATTGATTTATATAGGGAAAAAAATCTGAGACATTGTGTGAAACTTCTAAGTCCAGAGCTTAAGATATTTGGCATGTAACATCTTTTTGTGGACCACAAAATGACTGGTATTAAAACTGCCTTTTTGGATCAATATTGGCTCTGCCTGGGGTCACTTATTGTCCGCCTCTATTTCAAAGAAAGAAGTGGGATGTGGAAAAGGGCTCTGTCTGTCTGTCCGAACAAACATTTGAATATTTATGTGGCTAGAGGAACAATAGGTAATTGTACTTTTTATGCCCCCGCCATATAATGCCTGGTGCATATAGTGTTACCCTATTTCGTCATTCTGTCATCATCAGTTTCTGTTCATTATACTAGTAACGGTTGCACACATTCAACTCAAATTTGGCATATGGATATATCATAAGAAAATACAGATCAAGTTCGAATTTGGTCATGATTTGATAATTTTTGGCAGGGTTATGCCCCTTTCACTTTGAAAATAATATGAAATTTTCAGTTTCCGTTCATTATCTCTCCAATGGTATTACACATTCAACTCAAATTTGACATGGATACATCAAAGGAATGTGCAGGTCAAGTTCGAATTTGGTCATGGTTCCATGATTTTTTGCAGACTTAAGCCCCTTCCACTTTGAAAAAAAAAAAGGAAATTTTCAGTTTCCGTTCACTATCTCCCCAACAGTTGTACATATTCAATTCAAATTTAAGATATGGATATGTCATAAAAATACACTGGTCAAGTTTGAATTTGGTCATTGTTTGATGATAGTTGACAGAGGTATCCCTCTTGAACTTTGAAAAAAAAATCAGAAATTTTTAGTTTCCGTTCATTATCTCACCAATGGTTGTATACATTCAACTCAAATTTGACATATAGATACATCCTAGGAATAAACAGTTCAAGTTTGAATTTGGTCGTGGTTTAATGATTTTGGACAAAGTTATCTCTCTTGAATGTTGGAAAAATTTTGAATTTTTAGTTTCAGCACTGGTACTTTTGTGGAAATGTATTTAACCATTATTATGTTGGCTACAAATATGCAATATGCAATTTACAAAAGGTAAACAATGAATAGTTTCAGTACCTTGAACTTTGTATAAAAATGGTATGTGATTACATTGAATAGTTTTAAGGGCATTGAACTTAAAATGAAAAAAAAAATAGTTTGTGCAAACAAATTTGGAACTAAATATTGTAACATCTGAAATTTTTGCTGCATGCGGGGGCATCCGTGGAGTGACGACACATTTCTAGTTCTTTGATGTCATTCATTCAGTAATCTCTTGCATGGCTAAAAGAACAATTGAGAAGCCACATATGTATCATATGATTGGGACGTCCGTCCGCCTGCCCTTCCATCTGTCTGTCTGTCACGCTTTCGTATTTAGTCTATAATCATGGCATTTATCAAAGGAATGTGGCATAAATGTTTGTTATGATAAAACAAGGTGTCACGGGCAACACCCCTACCTTCAAGGTCACACTTAGTGATTAAAGGTTAATATTGTCTATTTGAAGGTCTATGTCGTGTAAGGTCCATAACTTTCTTTTCCGTGAATGGATTTCGACAATACTTGGCTCAAATGTTCACCATAATAAGACAATGTGTCATGAGCAACACCAATGTTGCCTACCTCTTAGGTCAATTTCATACTTGGAGGTCAAAGATTAACTTGGCCTGTTAAAGAGTGTATATTGTATCCAGTCCATAACTTTTTCTGATATTTCATTAATGAAGGGATTTTGAAATTACTTGGCACAAATGTTGCTAAGGTCAAGGTGACATTTGGAGGTCAAAGCTTAACATGGTCTGTTTTAGGGTGTACATATTATGTCCAGTCCATAATGCTTTTATTGTTCAAGGGAATTTGAAATTACTCTGCACAAATGTTGACAATAATAAGACGACATGTCATGCACAACACCCAGACCCCTTCAAAGGTCAAGGTCACACTTGGAAGTTCAGTCTAAAAATGGTTTGTTACATGACATGATATGATGCCAAGTCAGGCCTATGCAAATAACATGTCATTGATGAATTGCCCACATACCTTGATCATGAAAAAGTTATAGACTGGACACAAATAACCCTGTAACAAACTATACCCTGTTTGTCACATTTTGTGGCTTTGAAATAGTGACAACTATACAAATGTATTTCTGTTGAGGTGGGCATTATATTTTTTTAATGAGTTTATTGTTGCTTGCATGTGCAGATTTAGCATTGATAAAGGTATCATTCCAATAACACCTATATACATTTCGGGAGCCGCATTAAATTTAAATTCATGAATGTACGTGAACAAAAATCAATTACTTTTAAGTGTGTTTCCTCAATTTTAAAGTTATTTCGCGCAAAAATTAAATTAGTATACAAAACTTAAAATTGAAATCAGCCAATATTCTAGAATATCAAAAATACGGCCATTTTGGACGCCACCTTAAAAGCCACAGCTTAACATCAGGATTGGGATAAATGCAAATCAATTTTAAATAGATCCGACAGAATTAGACGAATATTAAGTTGTACACTGTATATGACCCCTCTAAATAAGATAGTAAATTAGGCTGATTTTTTTAACTCTTGTCATAATTAAAACATATCATGACAACAAATAACTTCATAGAAAAATAGTTTATACTGGATATATATTTGTCTGGTTTTTTTTATAGCAAACATGAAACTATCTTAAAATTATTGGTCAGTCCATTATGTGTATTATAGCTATAAAATAACATGGTATTTTGGAAGTCGCCTCCGTTCTATTGTATAAATCTACAATACCCATACGCCGAACAATAAAGTCGTATGCCATTTTGATAAATTTGAATTCTTTTCCTAAAAAATGTCTTCTTTACTCTCTTGGCATTTTGAACGCTCACGAATCCTTTGTCTGAGTTGAAAATGAACAATCCACATTCCTGAATATTTCCTTTACGTTTCGTACGTTGTGAGTTGTGTGTCAAAATGTTGAGCTGAATTTCCCGCTTGGTAAATGATTTTTCGTGTGAGAAGTAACAGATATTAATAAATTATCTTGGTACAAATGTAATTCGGAAATCACCTTCCATCAACTCTTTAATGTTTTTTAATTGTCACTATTTTTCTCTCATACTAAACACCGTGTATATCCAGTAACGCAGCAATGTGCAAATAGCAAAGTAACGCAGAATGGTGCAATTATGTGACTGAAAGTAAAGTGAACCAATATTTTTTTTAATTTTATATCAAATTTAAAGAAATGAAGTAGCACATACGGTTGCTGAAACATTATGTTTTGAATCTCATCAAAAATATTTCCATGAGAGTGTTTATTTTTGAAGATAATTCGTGTGACTCGTGAGAATGGCGACAAGACTAGCGTATTGATCGTCGAATCTTTAAATATTACATTACGGAGACATTTTCCAAACTACTCGTGTAGTTACACTTAAATAAGCAGATATAATGGCAGGTGAAACAGCCTCAACATTTTTAGCAGAAACATCCCTCGTCTTCAGTGTTATATGCTGGTAACTAACTCGTTTCATATACTATAACATATGATACAACTATTACTTTGTTATTGTTTTGTCTCATACATTGTGTACACGTATAGATCTATATATTTCTCAAATTTCTCAAATTCGTGTATCTAACACAGGTATGTCTTTAGCAAAATGTAATATCATAATTTATATATGGTTTGTAAATTGTTATTACAATATAAAATTATGTTATTACATTTTGTAAAAGATATACCTCTATTAGATGCACGAATTTGGGAATTTGAGAAAATTGCCATTGCGCATTAATTATTAAATTAAAAAAAAATATAAAATTTGCTTGCAGCGCTTTACTGCAGATGATCGGGTCATTGTTTAGATGTTTAAATCTTTAGATGCTGCTCGGTTTTATAAAGTCAAACCCTTGTTTAAAATGGATTAATATTAAAGCGACCTTTACCTTTTATTTTCTGTTGGAAAATCAATTCTATGTTGTTTCAAACCAAGTA